TGGCAAAAGTTGACTTTATCAATAATTCTTACCCAACTTACTCATTTAAAGTGAATTGCACTTAAAAATTCTTAACCTGTAAATTTTTTTAACTTGATTCACTTGACACATAATTTGTGTAAATGGACTGACAACCCACGATATAATAAAATATGTGGGTCATAAATGGCAAAAGGTGCAAATCACCCCCTCAACTCAATAACTGGTGGCAAATCACCCCCTCAACTCACTTCACGCGCAAATCACCCCCTCAACTCCCCTGCAGTGGCAAATCAGCCCCTCTGTTAAGGCTTCCGTTAACATTTAACAGTTCGTTCATAAGCCCTTCCTTTGTGTCTGGCGCGGCCTTTTTGTTGTTGAGATGGATGCTGAGGTAGAGGCACACCTGGACAAATACCTCAAAATCAGCATCGGAATGCAAGCATCGCTTTCTTCTCTCTTCCCGTTAAATCCTCCAAAGATCTGCCAAACTCAGACAAAGAAACTTCAGCATATGCTCAGCCCTCGTTGTTTTCTCTGGCTGGTAACCCGCCGCGAATTTCCTTTCTCTTCAATTCTCTTTTTCCCGATCTGAACTCACCTTCTCGCATTCAATCGCACGGTTTAGCCACCATCTCTCTGCATTCTATTCAGTTTTTACGGATCTTTTGATTACTGGTAACAAAGTTGTTGCGATTCTTTCTGTAAATGGTTAAATATTTTGTTTCTAATGTCAATTCGTTTTTCTCTGATATTCATTTCCTGATCTGCGATTTGTTTGTAGTAAAATTTTCATGTATGGTATAGAAACGGTCTTGAAATGTCTTTATAAATTATTATTATAGGAGATTGCAAAATCGCAAATCATACCAATTCTGCCTTATGTTATTATTTGTTACATCTATCTGTTGCTGTAAATTTTAATTTGAATTTAGAAGAATTCAATTCGTTCAAGACTTGTAGAAAGTTGACCACAACTCATGCATTTGAGAACATGCATCAATTTAACTGCATTATTCTTGAAAATTAGGAATGGAAGTTCCACTTTTAAACAAGAAGCATTGCCACTGATGCTTTAATCAAATGCACTAGGTCACCCCCATGAACAGTTCCTATTGTTATTTATCCATCATGACATCCATCAAAAGTTTTTGCTTCTTTTTTTTCATTAATATATGTTTTCCTATTTTCTTTTACATCTTGTATGATCCATTTAATTTAATTTAATTTTTTTTCAGGTACAAGTGATCCTGCAGATAGTGTCCAAGAAGGTTATGTGTTTCCGTTGGTGCTGGGTGAAATGAAGGGTGCAAGTTTACCACTGCCGAGTGCAGCTATATTGCCTTCTCCCATCTTGCCATGGAGGTTTAAGGTCTGATATTTTAGTGTCTGTTTGGTCCTTACTCCTCATGTAACATACTTATTGTATTGTAAGCTTGGCCTTTAAATTTTTCATACTCACCCTGAATAAACTTTAATTTATGAACTTTTTTTTAATAAATTTTTTCAATTTGATTGGATTTCAGGTTATATTGTTTTTGCTGTGGGGCTTCATTTGTTGCAAGATCAATTTAATTTTGTTTCTCACATTTTAACTCTCCAGTATTCTTGATCACTTTGTCATTTTAAATTTGGTAATTCTTTTTTTGAATAGATTCGATGGGATTCAATCATGAGAATGGGTGCAGATTTACAGGATTTGTTCTTATATGAGGCCTTCTTGTACTATAACCCCCTTCTTCTTGTGGTCAGTAGACAATTATCTCTTTGGGCGCTTTTATTACTCTTTGATACCAAATGCTTATGGACTCTTATTTGTTAGTTGTGTTATTGCAGACAATGATGGTTTAGCTCTGGGGAGTGAGCTTATGGGTTTTCTCACAGGGCAGTGTTAATTATGCAAAAAATTTTGATCTTGATCAAACTCATCTTACTCACAAAGATATATGGAAGGTACTCATGCAAAATGCACCTATTGTCAATTGGACTTTTTTTGGAAGCTGCAGCAGCAGCTTGAACTTTGTCAATAATTTTATTTCTAATTATTGTGTAGGAAATTTGACTTTATTTTTTACCATCTTCCTCGGGTCTTGGACTTTGTTTTTTGTTTTTTTGATGATTTTTATGTGAATATGAGAATATCCACTCATATGTAGTAAAATTTCTAATCCATTTCTATCTTTTATATGCAGCGTAGCATTTGGATGACCATTATTGTCCCAACTAGCATGACAGCATATCTTTATCCCTATTCCCATGGAGAAGTATCATTGGCTGCATCACAACCAGTGTAGCATCTGTCCTGCCCATTATACAATTTTGTTGCATTATTTTTGCAACTGTTAAACTTTATTGTACTCATTCCACTTTATTGTATCATTTGCTAAGGTATGAAGCTGCATCATTTTTTGGTCCTTTGTTTTTGGTATATTTAATTGAAAAGCTATAGCTAGGGACATATTTAGGAATGGTGTTGTGAATCTGCACGGTCCTGGAGAAGCTCTATTTTCCTGCATTTTAGATTCAGATAGATTGTATGGCATGGAAAGTACCAGCTTTCCTACTCTTTCAAACTTTTCTATCCTAGGCTAAAGCTACGATATTGGAATCATTCAGTTCTGTGAAAGGAGCTTCATTTCATAATGCACTTATAATTGTCAATTGAGTGCAGGTATTTTCAGATTTGGAACGTTCAGTTTGCCATATGGTTCACCGCCAGGTAATTTACTTTAAGGTTGAAGGACCTTTTCTACTGTTATTTTTCAGAGGTTAAGCAAGTTCAAGTTTGGTTGCTTAATAAAACTGCACTTTTAATTGCCAACTGATTGAAACTGAAGCAGTCACTGTCCCCTGATCGACTAAAACTCTTTTGGGTTTCAATCCTTAATAGCTGCTAGCAATGTTGCTCCTTCATTCTGTTGATCTCTCTCTCCTTTTTAGTTGAATTGAAGTTAAATCCTTAAAATATGGTAATTTCACAGAAGATTCAAAGCTTGACAAAGAACCCCGTTCTCAATGAATTGCAGATCTTAAAAGGACGAAGAGGGGAAGAAGACGAAGACGATAGAAACTGTCCGTCCTTGTTAGGATTTTTGATGCACAAGGGCTTAGGGTGCGCTTGGTTAGTGAGGAGACTTTTCTCCATAGATTCTCTAGGGTTATTTTGGTATTTTCATATTTTAATACTACAATAGAAGGATAACATTAGCATTTGTAACCTTAACTTTCCTTGG